CCCCCCCCCCCCCCCCCCCACCCCCCCCCCCCCCCCCCCCCCCCCCCCCCCCCCCCCCCCCCCCCCCCCCCCCCCCCCCCCCCCCCCCCCCCCCCCCCCCCCCCCCCCCCCCCCCCCACCCCCCCCCCCCCCCCCCCCCCCCCCCCCCCCCCCCCCCCCCCCCCCCCCCCCCACCCCCCCCCCCCCCCCCCCCCCCCCCCCCCCCCCACCCCCCCCCCCCCCCCCCCCCCCCCCCCCCCCCCCCCCCCCCCCCCCCCCCCCCCCCCCACCCCCCCCCCCCCCCCCCCCCCCCCCCCCCCCCCACCCCCCCCCCCCCCCCCCCCCCCCCCCCCCCCCCCCCCCCCCCCCCCCCCCCCCCCCCCCCCCCCCCCCCCCCCCCCCCCCCCCCCCCCCCCCCCCCCCCCCCCCCCCCCCCCCCCCCCCACCCCCCCCCCCCCCCCCCCCCCCCCCCCCCCCCCCCCCCCCCCCCCCCCCCCCCCCCCCCCCCCCCCCCCCCCCCCCCCCCCCCCCCCCCCCCCCCCCCCCCCACCCCCCCCCCCCCCCCCCCCCCCCCCCCCCCCCCCCCCCCCCCCCCCCACCCCCCCCCCCCCCCCCCCCCCCCCCCCCCCCCCCCCCCCCCCCCCCCCCCCCACCCCCCCCCCCCCCCCCCCCCCCCCCCCCCCCCCCCCCCCCCCCCCCCCCCCCCCCCCCCCCCCCCCCCCCCCCCCCCCCCACCCCCCCCCCCCCCCCCCCCCCCCCCCCCCCCCCCCCCCCCCCCCCCCCCCCCCCCCCCCCCCCCCCCCCCCCCCCCCCCCCCCCCCCACCCCCCCCCCCCCCCCCCCCCCCCCCCCCCCCCCCCCCCCCCCCCCCCCCCCCCCCCCCCCCCCACCCCCCCCCCCCCCCCCCCCCCCCCCCCCCCCCCCCCCCCCCCCCCCCCCCCCCCCCCCCCCCCCCCCCCCCCCCCCCCCCCCCCCCCCCCCCCCCCCCCCCCCCCACCCCCCCCCCCCCCCCCCCCCCCCCCCCCCCCCCCCCCCCCCCACCCCCCCCCCCCCCCCCCCCCCCCACCCCCCCCCCCCCCCCCCCCCCCCCCCCCCCCCCCACCCCCCCCCCCCCCCCCCCCCCCCCCCCCCCCCCCCCCCCCCCCCCCCCCCCCCCCCCACCCCCCCCCCCCCCCCCCCCCCCCCCCCCCCCCCCCCCCCCCCCCCCCCCCCCCCCCCCCCCCCCCCCCCCCCCCCCCCCCCCCCCCCCCCCCCCCCCCCCCCCCCCCCCCCACCCCCCCCCCCCCCCCCCCCCCCCCCCCCCCCCCCCCCCCCCCCCCCCCCCCCCCCCCCCCCCCCCCCCCCCCCCCCCCCCCCCCCCCCCCCCCCCCCCCCCCCCCCCCCCCCCCCCCCCCCCCCCCCCCCCCCCCCCCCCCCCCCCCCCCCCCCCCCCCCCCCACCCCCCCCCCCCCCCCCCCCACCCCCCCCCCCCCCCCCCCCCCCCCCCCCCCCCCCCCCCCCCCCCCCCCCCCCCCCCCCCCCCCCCCCCCCCCCCCCCACCCCCCCCCCCCCCCCCCCCCCCCCCCCCCCCCCCCCCCCCCCCCCCCCCCCCCCCCCCCCCCCCCCCCCCCCCACCCCCCCCCCCCCCCCCCCCCCCCCCCCCCCCCCACCCCCCCCCCCCCCCCCCCCCCCCCCCCCCCCCCCCCCCACCCCCCCCCCCCCCCCCCCCCCCCCCCCCCCCCCCCCCCCCCCCCCCCCCACCCCCCCCCCCCCCCCCCCCCCCCCCCCCCCCCCCCCGA